CGCGTAATGTCATAAGATTTGTTTCTTGGTATGAGGAACTGTATGAATGTGGCTACCACATGCAATATAATAAGTGACATACTAACTTGCAAGTATATACAAAAAGAGGATTTTAGTTCAACTTCAAGGTACTGAGTCACTACTGACCATTCATAGACCGTCAAATTTGAAGTCAATTGGCTTCGAAGTCCTGCATTCGAAAGTGTTCGAACCATGGAACCCAGACACGCACCAGAAGTTGCCGAATATTCTCAAAAGAAAACCGTTGTTTGTTTACATTCTATTTAGAATGATAAAAGGAGCCTCCTTTTATTGCGCAACTTATTCTCGCACTGCGCTGAGTTGCCGAAAAAGCGAAATAGTGACGCTAATATGTTGAAAGATATCGAAAATGACTAGATGAGAAAATTACCTTGATACCTTGATACCGCATACGGCTGAGGGAGGCGTTGCCTATGATGAGCCGCTCTAGTCGCTTCCGACGTGCTTGAATACGAGGTGCATCCAGTGCTTGTCCAGATTAGTCTTAAACTGGTTCACTGTTTTGCTGTTCACTACCCATTCTGGTAGCGAGTTCCAGTCCTTGACAATTCTAGTACTGAACACTTGGCCTCTCACTCTAGCTTTTGCAAGGGGAACTTTTAGCTTGTATTTGTGACCTCTTGTTGTTCTACTGTCCAGGAACGAAAAGAAGACATCTGCTCGGACCCTCTCTTGACCAGTTACAATTTTAAACACCTGTATCATGTCCCCCCTCTTTCTTCGATACTGTAGGGATGGGATCCTTAGCTTTTTCAGTCTCTCACTGTATGGCAGCAATGCCAGCCCTGGTACTAGTCTTGTTGCCCTTCTCTGGACTTTCTCAAGCTTCGACTGATCCATGGAGAAGTGTGGTCCCCAAATTTCAATACTTGTATTTTCAGTTTTGGCGCAAAAATCTTACATAATATCACTTTAACACTGGCTATATTGAAAAAAATGTCAGATTTTGTTTCTTCTTTCAACTCAGGACCAATGCCTTATATTATCCCTAAACCACAGCAGATACAAAACATTAACTGAGAAAGTGAGATTCAACAGGTTGGCTGGAACTTCAACCACAGGATTCTAATCTATAAGTAACATGGATTACTTGAACAACTACAAACTACACACTGCAATTTTTCACAATCAACCAAGATGTCCAAAGCCACTGTAACAAGAATGGACCAACATGGACAGTCCGTGCCAGGAAATACGGCTGATATGTAGACATTTACATATAGTTGCTAGAGGGGGGGGTGACGTTAGAAGCAATGTGGATAATTTACTGGTCAGGTCAGATTTGGGTCATGCTGACCCTGCGTTAACCTGAGCTAACTGCGCACCGCTCGGAGTTCCATACCGCTTCACCCTGCCTGCTCAACCCTCTCCCCACATGTACTCACTAAACCAGCCCTACAGTTGTGCTTGTAAGAGGGAAAGGGAAAGGTTTGGAGGTTTTCCACGGAACGTTAAACCGTGTGTCGTCACACGTAGTCTCCAAGCAGATGCTGGAGATGGCCGAGCCTAACGTTTTCGGACGAGCCGGCTTCCCTACCCCGACATCTACACACAAGGGCGGAGGCTTGTTTTTCACAAATGCACCACAAATGGTGGGACGGGAGGAGGAGGGGCTAAGGAAGAAGCATGACAGTCAGAGACACTGCCCCCACGTCTGTTTGTAGATTAAACTTCATGCACAACGCACTGGGATTGATTCTGGGAGATAATAACTGAACCGGCGGCATCAGAAGACTTTACGTAACACGGCGGTATCGTACATCATGGCGAGCTTACAGAACAAATCAAGCCTCCATGTGAAAGTATACTGCATTCAATCATACAGAAGACATATCGTGGTACAAATGTAGAGCGCTGAGATAATATGTAGAAAGAAGGGAAAAAATCAGGGCACGAAGACGCGCGATGGAATAGCCCAGAATCGCACCAGGTCACCGTGCCCCAGATTGCCACAGCCTACAAACTACGACCTACCCGCTCAGAGATTCCTCACGTTCCACCTTCTGTGCACTCATGGCATCGCTGTCCGTTGTCTGGAGGGATGGTAGTGCCATTACACGACGGACTGATGCCTACAATGGAGTAGGTGACG